GTGATTGTCTTTCAATGATGTTCACTGAAGGGGATAAAGTTTTGACAAATACTGTTAATTTTAAGTCCAAAACGTGTAACAGAGAGAATGCTGCCTTGTGGTACACCCATTTCCTGTTGATGAAAGTCATAATAGAAGTCAGAGGTCTCGTTAAAGTCGTAAAGACAAAAAGTGTCTGGTTCTCACTAATTCGTGCTGAAATAGTTAAAATCCATGGTCTGCGCTCTGTACCATTGGTGTGACCCGAATCAGAGCAATAACACTCTGGAACTACATCCACGATAACGATCTCCCTGTGCGGTATACTATAATGCTGCAGGTGCTTGTTATGTACATTTTATAGTGGTAGGTAAGGGATAAACTAATTATATAATAATTGTTATGATGAAATCTTTATACTTATAGCTTACTAAATATATACATACGTACACCATTGGGCATTATTTAATACAGTCGTAAGAGGTCACGCAAAGACGGACTAGAAGTCACGCCAAGATTACAATCTTCTTGTTTCAATAACAATATAGCCGCGCATATATACTATCTAAACATGACTCTTTCACGAAAAAAAGGTTTCATTTGTTCTAAAACAATGCTCATAGAAGCTATGTAAAAACAAACAAACACACACCCACACACACACGAATTATAGAAGATTTTGTCAATTACAGGAAAAGCTATTGAAGTAAATTAGATATCTCAAGTTGTATGGTTGTGAACTATGGATACTCTCAAAAGCTGAAATAGCCATGTTAGAAAGAGCACAAAATTTTATTGTTAAATCCATCCAAGGTTTTGAAAAAAGGACGAGAACCGATATGTGTAACTCATTCTTAGGTTGGACATCTATTGAGGCTTATACTGATATAAGAAAGTTACTATTTTTGAGGCGAATATATTGTATGAACATTAGCACTTTGGTATATAAAATATTTGCCACTAGAATTTTTTTATGTTTAATACGAGTACTGCAAAACAAAGTGGGTTTATACCAGATATTGTATACGAAAGTATACATTGTATGGTATTTTTTCAGATTGTATAAGAACGGACTCGTTACCTGGTAAACGACAGTGGAAAACATTGGTAAATAAGTACGTATATATATTTAAAGAAAATGAATTGAAACAAAGAATGTCAAATGACAGTGACTTCTTCTGGTTCGCTTCGATTCATAACAAGCTAGAGTCACATTGCTTATGGAAACTTGCTGCAAAATATCTTCAGTACTCTAGATCTATACATTGATGGTGTGTAACCTCTCAGGTCTACCAATACGGAATTGTGTCATGTTTGTGGAAAATTTTACAATGATTCTATAACTCATATTGTTCTAAATTGTGATGCAAATGCAGGTATTAGAGACGAATTATGGTGCTATGTTATTAACATGTCAGATATTCAATTCAGTGTCCATATACATAACTTATCGGATTTCGAATTAACTAATGCTCTGTTAGGCAGTCTATTAAAGTATGATTTATCTTCAGAGAAAATGGAACATTTCAGATTAGGCGCTATCTCATATGTATGTCAAATGTTGAAAAACTATTATCAGTAATCTGTTTTTCTGGTACATATAAGTACCAAAACCCTATATCTTGAAAATGTGTTGAAAGAATAGTTTAGTGAAATACTTCTAATTAACTATCAAAACATATTGTAACTGTATATATATGTATGTGCGTGTTGGTGTGTACGTGTGTAAATTTATGTAATTTATTGCTGTTTATATAGTTGTCTTTGTAAATCTTCATATTTGGAGGAAATTAAGATAATAATAATGAAAAAGCAGCCAGTTACCTGTCCAGTAGTACCTACACACCTGTAACAGAATGATACTTTTTTGTAACTAACGAAATCGGATCGATTGGACAACAGCTGTGCCATTGTACAGATAGCTTATACAGTTTACTTGAAAACTTACTTTTACTTAGTGAAAGTGACATGAATAACTATCAGAATCGCCATATTACAAACACACTGGCAATCTATCGGATCATTTCTCTGATGAATGAATACTTGTGCAAACATGTTTCGGCAGAGTTGAACGTACTTTTACAGGCCTCGCTGTACCTTTCCCATTCAGTAAAATTGCTTGAGTTACGCTTCCAACTTTTGTTTGTACCAATTAGTTAAATACCGAACTGAATCGATTTCACAATGTCCACAGAATCAAAACAATTTGATCAAATGAAAAAATCAAATTTTGAAACTTTTTCTCTCGAAATATGCTTATCCATTTCAAGAAAAAAGATAAATGTCATTTAATAATTAAAAACTGAAAATGAATCAGTTCCTTTAATGATGTGTTATCACAGAACTCATCAATCACTCTAACAAATTTCAATTCAACCGGTCTCGTGACCAAACAATCAATCAATTATCTCCTACTCCATCACAATATTCAGATTTCACTAAGACTACAAGGACGGTCGCTATCGACATCAGTAACTGATGTGCGTCTTTTCGACTCACAATGGTGAACCACTGGACATGGGTAACTGATGTTTATCATTCTGACTCACAATGGTGAACCACTGGACATGGGTAACTGATGTTTATCATTCTGACTCACAATGGTGAACCACTGGACATAGGTAACTGATGTTTATCATTCTGACTCACACTGGTGTTTATCATTCTGACTCACACTGGTGTTTATTATTCTGACTCACACTGATGTACTACAGGACTTACACTTGTGTACTACCAGGATGTGGGTTTGTGATGTTCATCATTTTGAGTTACACTGGTGTACTACCAGGATGTGGGTTTGTGATGTTCATCATTTTGAGTTACACTGGTGTACTACCAGGATGTGGGTTTGTGATGTTCATCATTTTGAGTTACACTGGTGTACTACTGGGATGTGGGTTTGTGATGTTCATCATTTTGAGTTACACTGGTGTACTACTGGGATGTGGGTTTGTGATGTTCAGCATTTTTAGTTACACTGGTGTACTACCAGGATGTGGGTTTGTGATGTTCAGCATTTTTAGTTACACTGGTGTACTACCAGGATGTGGGTTAGTGATGTTCATCATTTTGAGTTACACTGGTGTACTACTGGGATGTGGGTTTGTGATGTTCAGCATTTTTAGTTACACTGGTGTACTACCAGGATGTGGGTTTGTGATGTTCAGCATTTTTAGTTACACTGGTGTACTACCAGGATGTGGGTTTGTGATGTTCAGCATTTTTAGTTACACTGGTGTACTACTGGGATGTGGGTTAGTGATGATCAGCATGTTAAGTTACACTGGTGTACTACCAGGATGTGGGTTTGTGATGTTCATCATTTTGAGTTACACTGGTGTACTACTGGGATGTGGGTTTTTGATGTTCATCATTTTGAGTTACACTGGTGTACTACTGGGATGTGGGTTTTTGATGTTCATCATTTTGAGTTACACTGGTGTACTACCAGGATGTGGGTTAGTGATGTTCAGCATTTTTAGTTACACTGGTGTACTACCAGGATGTGGGTTAGTGATGTTCATCATTTTTAGTTACACTGGTGTACTACCAGGATGTGGGTTTGTGATGTTCATCATTTTGAGTTACACTGGTGTAGTGCTGGGATGTGGGTTTTTGATGTTCATCATTTTGAGTTACACTGGTGTACTGCTGGGATGTGGGTTTTTGATGTTCATCATTTTGAGTTACACTGGTGTACTACTGGGATGTGGGTTTTTGATGTTCATCATTTTGAGTTACACTGGTGTACTACCAGGATGTGGGTTTGTGATGTTCATCATTTTGAGTTACACTGGCTACTACGGGGATGTGGATTGCTACTTATTATTAAAACATAAAAATGGAAAGTGACAGGAGCATGATTGAGACTCTAACCAAGAACCTCTGAATGCTTTATCTGATAAAAATCCTTAGTAAGTGGTAATATTCCTAGTCTTCCTAGTTGTGGTGTGAAATAAAGAAAAAAAATGCTTATGAAATGTTTCATGTTTATTTGTGGGATTGCACAATATTACATGATGTGTGATGTGTACATGACAGGAAAAATGGACGAAATAAGCAATAAGACATGACACAGATGTACGATTCTACCATCATTGATATAAATTTTTAAAAGACTAACAGATAAGTGGCTTTATCTATTTTCTAAATATATGAGATTACAACTATGTATATTTCCTGATTAAGCTGTAAATCTACAGTTTGAATTCATGTATATCTATCAGATACAAACTGAATAGCTATATACACTTGTAAAGTGATTATTGACGATGTCAGCACTAAGGTTTTGGTGCGTTGTGTTATCACAACTATACATTTGTATATAAAAATTATATAAAATAAATTTATTTCCCAGGTTTTCTTCTCACATTTTCTTGACCATACTGGGAGGTGATTGCTGCCTGGCGAATTATCACAGAATTAGTGGGACAACACTGTATATTAGTAGCCCCATGCAGTAGTTAGAATTTGTGTGCTGTGTTTCAATTGTTCTCAAGGAGCAAAGAAAGACAACTCTCCCTAAATTTACATCATTATCTTATTTAGACTTACAAAGTTTCTCATCATGTATCAATTAAACAAGGTATGTAGATAAAACTAGCACAAGTAGCAGCTATTTTAAAAAGTGACATGTGAAACATCACCGTAGCTTACGAAGTTCTGCATAGGTAATGACATGATGTAATAGTTCTGTAAAACATGTGGTACCATATGTTGTCATCTGAAGAACTGGTTCACTTCCTCTAGTCTGTAGGTCTGACATAAAATGATAACAACAATTTATGTTTACATTGTTTATAAGCCATGCCCAAAAGTCCACTTCTTAGGTCTACAGTCCTGAAGTGACAACCAGTGTCTTACCATGGTTACTAAAATACACCAAAAGTCCAATTCCTGCTGTCTCTAGTCTTGAACTAAAGTGACCTCTAGTCTGTTTCCATGGTTACTAATTCACCCAAAAGTCCCCTTCCTGCCATACACAACCCTGAACAGAAGTGACCGCCTGTATGTTTCCATGGTTACTTAAGAAACAGTAATGTCCACTTCCTGTTGTCAATATCCTTGACATCAACACAGTCTAGCTGTAGGAAGGGCAGACATCTTGTCTCCATGGATGCAACACCAGTATCCACATTCTTTAAACTAAACTCTAGCAGAAAAAAAATCATAGAAGAATGAATTAAATAAATAATAATTAAAAAAAAATTGTGTTAAGTACCCTTTTAATAGATTAACTTTGTTCAATTGACGTGAAACAGTTACAGGGATTTCAACAAAATCTTCGTCTGTTACAATGAGCTGTACGATGCAAAAATCCTTCCATTCAATTAAATTATCAACCAATGTGTTCATTGGCAGTAACTGTGTGCTAAGTACAGGTAATGAATGGTTGGTTTAGATGGCTGAAAGTCCCTTCAACTCGTTCTGATCAGTTAGTTAGGTAGTCAGTTCTGGCAACCAACCACTTCAAAACAACGTGAAAGGTAGATTTTGAATTTGTTTTGTACCATAGATAGTTTATAAAAAAACACATGGTAAGTGAAAAATGTTCATAATATCCCAAAATATTCAATTCATTTACAATATTGATACTGAAAATGCATATCTGTATGCATGTTCTTGAAAGGAAACACACTAAGGAATAAATTTCAATCTTTTTTGTTGTATGCTAAGGACTGATTTAATTTAATGCTTAGATATACCAGTATTACTATACATTAAACTCGAAAGGGACAAACAATCATAGACAGAATACAATTAAGTTGTTACATATATGAAATAAAGATATTTTGATACTTAACTTAATTTTAGTTATTGAAGTTCAAATTTTCAAAAAACCAACATGAAAATAAAAGAATAAAAGATATCAGTTTCATTTCTTACCATTGTACATAGTTGGTACTTTTTAAACATATCTTTGTCTGTGTATACTGTCAATACAATTGAGTTTTACTGTTAACTGTACATGTAAGTGCACTGCTATTTTAAGCAGAGTCCAGAACCAGAATTATGAATACACATTGTCTAAAATATGCAACACAAAGGATATTACTGAGATGAAAATATTACAATATAATTCAAATTTGATAAGCATTAAATTTTTATGTTGAAAATGAAAAACTTACCATCTAATGTCATGTCATCCAGACTCCTGCAAACTGACCAATCAGTGGACACCCCTGTCCGCATCCTTAGCCACATCTCCCAGTCCTTCTTGACCAGCGAGCTTTCGCAAAGGTGATAGACAAACATCTCCACCTGATTACCATATTCAGGGCGAGCCTGTAACCCGACAGGAAGAAGTAAACAAAGTTTTAGTTGGAATTTCCAAAAAAGGAGAGATAGTAAACAAGAGGCCCATGGGCCTTAATGGTAATCTGACATAAAATACAAGATTTCAAATTTTGAACTTGAGAAGAACTCAAAAATGTGTTTTCAAGATGGCGGCCATGTTGGATTTCAGACAAACCCGAAATTAACAAAATTTGGTCAGGATCATGTCATGATCATTTCAGGTAAGTTTCAGTTCAATGAGACATGTAGAACTTGAGAAGAAGTTGAAAATGTTTACGATGGACGACGGATGCCGCCGGACAAAAGGCAATCGCAATAGGTCATCAGATCCTTCGATCAGATGACCTAAAAATTCAGAAGTGTACCCACCTTTTGGAGAAACATCTCTCCTTGTGTGTGTATCACACTCTGTAGACTAGACCATTCTCTATCTGACAGTAGTAACAACTTCTGTACTGCAGCATCCCTCATTGTCACTATGGCAACACTTGTCCCATCCTCAACGATAACACTTCAAAGAAACAATAATGTTATTTTGCAATACTAGAGGAGAAACCTTTGATCCTTTATGGTAATTCGAGTTTGAAGACCTAAGATATATACACAGTGTTGGTGTGGTAGGAACAATAAATTGACTTTGTTTTTGACAAATTTTCCACTAACTTCTAAAACCAATGGTATTCAATTTTTTGAAAGGTTAGTCAGGGTTGCCATATTTGAATTTTAACTACTGATGACATAAAATTATTCAACATCTGAGGATGTTTCCTGGTAAGTGACAACCAAACCATATCTTTGGTTGTTATTATCTTAATCACAGGTCAAGGTAACGTTTTTTTACCTAAGTTATAACTTGTCACTTCAATCTTGATCTAAGAAACCTAACACATTGCCTACCTTGCTCTGGCTAGAAACCTTGCACCATAATCTGTCTGACAGGCTGTGTTACTACAGGCCCCGCCCACACAGACTGCTCCACAGTGCTGACACACCCACTTCAGGGACACTTTAAGGAACCTTTGCACATGACAACAGACTGGAAATGGTGAGCCGTGGACCTTACTTCTCCACAGGTCAGCTAAATACACTAGTTGAACAGTTGTTACTTCTAGGCATTGGTTGTGAGAAGGAATCGCCCTATTGAAAGAATAATGGAATTAAATCATGATATCAGTCAAATCTGTGTGCGGAGGTCAGAGGTCTCATTATAAACAAGATAAAGAATAAATGACATCCTTTGTCTCATCTAGAAAGCTACATTTATTACAACCAGAAAGATAACGGTGCTTACAAATAATTTATTGAAAACCAAATTGGAATTGTAAGGTACATGCTATATTCCTACATAATTCTTTCTCATCTGTTGTCTGAGAAACATATCATATAACCCAAGACAGAACATTTGATCACAGAACAAACTTTAACATATAGTGTTCACCACTAATTAAACAAAAAACATTTGGCCCTTCAGGGAGTGGATAAGAGAATTATACATGATACCATACAGTCATAATACACAATTTTCAGAATAGTATTGATGAAAAAATAAAACCTCAGGCAAACTGACATGTATAAGAAGTGGACATACAACATCAATGCAGTACAATCCTGCTGGTCTAATGAAAGATTTATTGAAAGATTTGTCTATGATAGTCTTCCCTAATATTTTTGACGGCCCGATTTCTTTATAAGGCGGCTTTGACTGTTTAATTACTTGTTGCCTGTTTTATCATTAGAATGATAGATTCACAAACCTTGCCAGCTCTGTGTGGTACTTTATGTGTAGACAGGAAATGGCTATAAACTGACAGTAGACATTGTTCTTTCTTGACACCTTCCTCTCTAGTCGTTCTAACCGTACCCCCACCCCAGGGAGAAGCCCTAGGGGGTATATAAAACTATCCAGGTTTAAGTAGACATCCACTTCATCCCCTGACCTCCAACACCTGACAACGATCTTCATCCCACAACCATCAGGGGAACCCACACCTGCAATATTGGTCATCATAATAAGAGTCTGATGGTAAGTAGATAAATGTACCTGAAGTAGCTTTTCATGTAGATCGGTAAAATCTGCCAGTCAAACATCCTTCAGCAAAGAAATACTAAAGGAAAGGGAATGATCACATAAAACAATGTTACACAGATGTATAGCAGAAACAATAGACAAATTAATTTGATAATTCCTACCGATGTTTCAATTGAAAGGATGCTCCAGTCCTGTGGCATTTACATTGATTTAGGATATACATATTAACTATCAACCTTTTAATTTTACCCTGTGTAAAAGTTATCTCCCTTCTATCAATAGTTCAATACTGGTTTTTACCCTATCACACCCTTTTTCAAAATCTACCCTTATAATGTAGCATATTTCCCAAGTCATATATATTAGGAGAATTCAACAAAATCATGGGTATTTCTCTTCCAGTTCCAACTTTATATAACAAGCTATATTAAGTATGTTTGTATCACATTGTGTTCATACCACGAAAAATGCCATAAATATGCTGTTTATTCCTTATGCAATTGTCCTGGTTTGAATCATGTCACTAAATCTCAACTTTGATGTGGAGACAAACAGCCAAATTTCAGACAACTTTATTCTAGCTAGTTTAGTTCCTAAACCAAGCTAAACCAAAACAAAACTCCTTTATTGTCTGAACTTTGAAGATTTGTTTCATCAGCAATTGTTCATCAAAACTACAAGACTATAACAGTGAGGCAGTTATTCCCCATTACAAACCTAGCTGCTGATTTGAGTGAAGATCTGAAGACATATGTCCCTTAGTAGATGTAGGATGGCTATTTGTGTCTACTGGAAATCGTCGTACTACCAGTCCCTCAATACTGACAAGTGTTGCCTCACATCTGAAAACAACTTTAAATGTGTAACAAAAGCAATCAATTACAATAAAGTTCACTAGCCACACCCACGGTAAATGCTGTAATTTTAGTTCTATACTTATCAATAATATACAATTGTTATAGTAGTGAGGTGATCCTCCTTTCCTCGAGGAGAGACAAAAAAATTTACACAAAAAACTTTTATACTTTCTGATAAATTTAAGTCAATAACATGCTAAAATTGAAATGTTACAAATAATTCTGGGGATTAAATTACTGTAACTCTATTCCTTCTACTTCTACACCTATCTCTACTCCTACATATAACTCTACCCCTCCACCTATCTCTACTCCTACACCTATCTCTACCCCTCCACCTATCTCTACTCCTACACCTATCTCTACCCCTACACCTATCTCTACTCCTACACCTAACTCTACTCCTACACCTAACTCTACCCCTACACCTATCTCTACTCCTACACCTAACTCTACTCCTACACCTAACTTACTCCTACACATAACTCTACCCCTAAACCTATCTCTACTCCTACACCTAACTCTACCCCTAAACCTATCTCTATTCCTACACCTAACTCTACTCCTACACCTAACTTACTCCTACACTTAAATCCACTCCTACACCTAACTTACTCCTACACCTAACTCCACTCCTACACCTAACTTACTCCTACACCTAACTCCACTCCTAAACCTAACTCCACTCCTACACCTAACTTACTCCTAAACCTAACTCCACTCCTACGCCTAACTCCACTCCTACACCTAACTTACTCCTACACCTAACTCTACCCCTAAACCTATCTCTACTCCTACACCTAACTCTACTCCTACACCTAACTCCACTCCTACACCTAACTTACTCCTACACCTAACTCCTCTCCTACACCTAACTTACTCCTAAACCTAACTCCACTCCTACACCTAACTCCACTCCTACACCTAACTCCTCTCCTAAACCTAACTCCACTCCTACACCTTTCTTACTCCTACACCTAACTCCACTCCTACACCTAACTTACTCCTACACCTAACTCCACTCCTAAACCTAACTCCACTCCTACACCTAACTCCACTCCTAATCCTAACTCCACTCCTACACCTAACTTACTCCTACACCTAACTCCACTCCTATACCTAACTCCACTCCTACACCTAACTTACTCCTACACCTAACTCCACTCCTAAACCTAACTCCACTCCTACACCTAACTTACTTCTACACCTAACTCCAATCCTACACCTAACTTACTCCTACACCTAACTCCACTCCTAAACCTAACTCCACTCCTACACCTAACTTACTCCTACACCTAACTCCACTCCTAAACCTAACTCCACTCCTACACCTAACTTACTCCTACACCTAACTCCACTCCTACACCTAACTTACTCCTACACCTAACTCCACTCCTATACCTAACTCCACTCCTACACCTAACTTACTCCTACACCTAACTCCTCTCCTAAACCTAACTTACTCCTAAACCTAACTCCACTCCTACACCTAACTTACTCCTACACCTAACTCCACTCCTACACCTAACTCCACTCCTACACCTAACTCCACTCCTACACCTAACTCCACTCCTACACCTAACTTACTCCTACACCTAACTCCACTGCTAAACCTAACTCCACTCCTACACCTAACTTACTCCTACACCTAACTCCTCTCCTACACCTAACTTACTCCTAAACCTAACTCCACTCCTACACCTAACTCCACTCCTACACCTAACTCCTCTCCTACACCTAACTCCTCTCCTAAACCTAACTCCACTCCTACACCTTTCTTACTCCTACACCTAACTCCACTCCTACACCTAACTCCACTCCTACACCTAACTTACTCCTACACCTAACTCCACTGCTAAACCTAACTCCACTCCTACACCTAACCTACTCCTACACCTAACTTACTCCTACACCTAATTTACTCCTACACCTAACTCCACTCCTACACCTAACTCCACTCCTAAACCTAACTTACTCCTAAATCTAACTCCACTCCTACACCTAACTTACTCCTACACCTAACTTACTCCTACACCTAACCCCTCTCCTACACCTAACTTACTCCTAAACCTAACTCCACTCCTACGCCTAACTCCACTCCTACACCTAACTCCACTACACCTAACTCCTCTCCTACACCTAACTCCACTCCTAACCACCTAAACTCTACTCCTACACCTAACTTACTCCTACACCTAACTCCACTCCTAAACCTAACTTACTCCTACACCTAATTTACTCCTAAACCTAACTGCACTCCTAAACCTAACTTACTCCTACACCTAATTTACTCCTAAACCTAACTGCACTCCTACACCTAATTTACTCCTATACCTAACTCCACTCCTATACCTAACTTACTCCTACACCTAATTTACTCTTACACCTAACTCCACTCCTATACCTAACTCCACTCCTACACCTATCTTACTCCTACACCTAACTCCTCTCCTACACCTAACTCCACTCCTACACCTAACTCACTCCTACACCTAACTTACTCCTACACCTAACTCCACTCCTACACCTAACTCCACTCCTACACCTAAAATAAAATATGAGAAGAGTGGCATGTGTCAATAGCCTTGTGTAAATTGTTTTTGTTTGATAAACACTATTTGTTACCTCAGGACAACATTGAAATAAAAAAGTGTTTATCATCTAACAGTATGCAGAATTCCTACTTTTCTGTTAGGATTGCTTTGATAGACAGGTTCCTTGAGGAGTTACGACCAGCAGAAGGAGGAATCTGTAAACATCAGGAAACAACATTATGTTTACCAATGTCAGGATTTGTAAACTCTGTAAACATCAGGAAACAGCATTAGGTTTATTGTTGTCAGGATTTGCATATACATCTTATTATTTGCATATTAAGTATCTATATTTAACAATGTTTTTCTCTGATCATTTAAATATACAAACTATTATTATGGTTAATAATTGGCCATATCAGTGTTTTGGTTTTTTATTTATATATACACACATATATATATAGAATTTGGCAAAATGATTAGATTAATGGGATATCTGTTTGAAACTTTCTAAAGATTAAGATTGACGAGCTACAAAGTTGACATCCTCCAGATTTTATATCAATAAAACTCCATAGTGTTAATGTTGAATCACAGAACAGGAAACTATTCATACCTCAAAGTTCAATGAAAGATGCAGTTTAAAGTTAAAAATATGCACAACCAAACAATTTGACTTTGACAACATATAACATAGTTAATCATTTCTAATCAAAGTTTAATGGGATGTCAATTAAGCAAAATTTATCCTTTTGTTGTTTGAAGGTTTTCACAACCTTGAGTGTTGAGTGTATATCAGATTGAACGCTAGTGAAATGCTAGCCTTAAATAGAGTCTTTTTCATTCTGATATCAGCAACACTATGTCCAACAGTTTTTGAAACTATTCAATTTATATCTCTTCATAGCTTGACTTTTACATTCAATCTTTTTTATAATAGAATGTTATTAAATATGAATACAAGACACATTATCAAATTCATACTACTGTAGACAATTTCCATGTGAACATATACATTATTAAAGTTTATCAAACAACAAACCCTGTTTGGGAACACTCTAGACAGTCGAGTGCTCCCCGGCACCTTATGGACACTTCTGCCTCCAGCCTTAGCAACAGCCTTTTTCAGCTGCCATGAAGTAGCCCCTGGGGGGCAGAGCTTCCCAGTGGGCAACAAAATGCTATAAACTCCTCCGGGTACAATAGTTTGACACCATCGTATAGCATTATTTTCGAACAAAAGTATCACAACTGGAGAGAGAGAGTTTTCCAATTCTAGCTTCAGACCATATTGATGTTCAGCACAATTGCAGTGTTCAAATTGTCTACTACACTGGTGAGAAGATTGTTCCTGAAGATTTGGCAGTGTTTCCCAGTCCAAAGATTCCTCATCAGTGTTTTGGAGGAGGTAACCTTGAACTGCCATCCTGAAATGTGAATCACAGTGAACTCTTCGTTCCAGTACCAAAGTTTCACGGTGGTTAATCAGCACCAGTTGTCTGCCCTTATTAACATCTGTTAGCAGTCCAGTATGGTCTTGGCCTATCTTGCCCTTCTTAAGTGGAACCTGCTCCTTAGGAGCTATACTTACTGTACGCCTATATATCAATACAACATTTAACATAGAAAACATGACGTAACATGTGTTACTACTACTGGTGTCAGAATCATCTGTCATTTTAAAATTTTTTAATGAGGCATTTATATTGATAAATTGTTCACGAATCACAGTGAACTTTGTCACTGCTACAACAGCACCTACACAGCATGTCTGTATAAATGGACACCGAAAATATGAACCAGATTCTAAATCACAGCATTTACAGATTTTTGTACAAAAATGATCTTCACTTGATGTTGTCATGGTGATGACACAGTCAACAAATCCTGTATCATCTCTCAGCTGAACTCGCCCATTCTTTGATGAAAGTTCCAGGATTCCAATTAAAATCTGGAAACATCAAGAAATGTTTTTTTCTATGAAATATCATATACACATGTTTTATTTCTAACACTGAAGTTTAAGTCAACTATCTAACTGAACAAGATTTTCTGGTGAAAAACTTTGGAAAATGGAAAACATCATTTCATACATCTGTAAAGAACAAATACAAAGGATTATTTTTCTGCTGTTGTTTCATTCTACAATACCATAGACAAACAGATAACTGACCAACTATGTGCCTGGCTCTATACAAATGTAGGTTTATGTTAATATTTGTCTAAGACTGGAAATCACACATAAAGACAAAGTCTTCAGAATTGTCACACAATATTTACCTTTTGTGGCTGTCCCTGATGTTGGTGATGAAAGCCCCAGTATGTATCATTGTCAGTTAGATTGTCTGTCTGTGTCTCTAAACATCTTATCTCCTGTATAAATGTCTTCATATCTGGTACCACAGGGTACCCCTCACTACCACCCTATCATGTAAATAAAAGGTTATAATGGTATCACAGGGTACCCCTCACTACCACCCTATCATGTAAATAACAATGGTATAATGGCACCACAGGGTACCCCTCACTACCCCCCTATCATGTAAATAACAAGGTTATAATGGTACCACAGGGTACCCCTCACTACCACCCTATCATGTAAATAACAAGGTTATAATGGGACCACAGGGTACCCCTCACTATCACCCTAGCAAATAAATAACAATGTTATAATGGCACCACAGGGTACCCCTCACTAACCCCTATCATGTAAATAACAAGGTTATAATGGGACCACAGGGTACCCCTCACTATCACCCTAGCAAATAAATAACAATGTTATAATGGCACCACAGGGTACCCCTCACTAACCCCTATCATGTAAATAATGATGTTATAATGGTACCACGGGGTACCCCTCACTACCACCCTAGCAAATAAATAACAAGGTTATAATGGGACCATAGGGTATCCCTCACTACCCCCTATCATGTAAATAACAATGTTATAATGGTACCACAGGGTACCCCTCACTAACCCCTATCATGTAAAGTAAGAATGTTATCATGGTACTGAATGGTACTCTTCAGTACCATCAAGGCCCATGGGACTTTTGTTACAATTGTTACATGATTAAATCAGTACAGAATTTTTAAACAGAAAAGAAACGAGATCAACAACATCAACTTCAAATTAATTTCTCAACATACGCACAAAATTTCAGCTCAATGGCACCGACAGAAGTGGACAAGAAGTTATTTTAAAATGACAACCACATATGACTTTGAACCAAGCAGAAAAAGCAACACTTAAAATTATCTCAGAATTGTTTCAGGAAAGTTTCAGTTGAATCCCACTTGTGGAACTTGAGAAGTTTAAAATAGATGTTGATAATGAAAATCATAATTGCACCATCTTGTTATAAAATGGCTGTCAAACCAAACTTTCAGTGAAGGTAAAAAATGACAACATTTTGCTGGCTTCCTTTTCTTAAGATACCAACTAATAACCAGCTTAATGGCCAAAGTTGAACTTGAAGTTTTAAAATGTGTTTATCATAATGGTGGACATAACATCCATATTGGATTTCAGACCAACACATGGTGAGAATCATCTCAGGACTATTTCAGGCAAGTTTCAACTGAATCACAACATATGAGAAGTTTAAATTGTAGAAAGTTTATCAATGGCATGCAATGACAGACAAAACATGATGGCTTTGTTGGTTGGTCATGATCCTTTGGGTCAGATGACCTTATAATCTTAGTAAAATACATTATAATGTGTTTATTTGTCTTTTGAAAATTTTCGTCATTTGTTTTTAAAACTGACATCTGATTTTTAGCCATGTCATATTTCCATCATTGAACAGCAGGAACTAAACACATTTAACATGGCTTTCTCGAATGAATTTGCCATTTCCATGTTTGCCATGCAAACATATAAACAAGATAAGACAAAGGCAAAATGACGGCTATATGGAAAGATGTTCCCTGATCCATTTTGACATAAAAAATAGAAACTTACTATATTTATATAATGTCTGTTATGCTTCATACAAAACTGTGCTAAAATCACTTAAACAACAAAATGCATGATCAGATGCTTTAGTAATGTGTATCACATATCTAACCAAGTACCTGTTCCCGTAGCAAGCCACATTGGTGTGTCCTAGATAGGAACTCCTGAATATACACTCGTCCTGCCTTGTCCTGGTCTGTGGAACATCTACCAAATACAGTCTCAACTATATCAGGTAGGTCACTGAAATAAACAAATTAAAACAAAGAAGTTCATCTCAAAGTTCACTACGGGTTGAAAATCCATAAATTTAGAAAGTTCACCTCAAAGTTCAATAAGGAATGAAAATCCGTAAATTTATCATGGTTTAAGTGGTAGTGATATTGTAACAAAAAATTGTTTTTTTTATACCTTATTCAACCTTCAGCTTTTCTACAAGAATAAACATAATTCCAAGTAAAGTATTCTAGTTGTAAACGGAAACAACACATAATGTATGTTTTTACTACATATACCACAAATGATACCTTTTAAAATAGCTCCCTTTACTTATATAACTGATGCGTAATCTATTCTGGACATCCCTTCCCCCTGTCATATGTCTAACATAGTGTCATTACTTGTTCTTAGCAAAATCATTCACCTCTTTAATCAGTTTTAACTGTAAAAGCAAAGCAATATTGTTTCAATATTTATGTAAAAACCTTTTATTGTGCTAAATACACCAAGACCAAAACAAAACACTTTTCAATATGAAATAACATACATGCATATGTGAACAAAATGGAGTATGATTACACTGAAAATAACAATATAGTTGTAACAAACATTCTTATTCGATTCAATGGATGTAAGTTGCATTCTTATTACAGTTAAAATATTAACTACTGATGTGATATTAAAAAAAAACCTACTGATAAAACTTTGAGCAGAGTTTGTTGTGGAGTGAGAAGGTCAAGTTGATGAATGTATCCAGCATTTCTTGTGTTACACAACACTTCTTCAGGGTCTGATGTAACATCAAAGGCAGGTGCACCATCTGAATAGATAGACTTCTATTGTTTATTATCACTGGATAACCAAGACAAAAAGCCAAGGAATTATAAAACAGAAATACTTTTATGGCAGGGGATGAACTATAACTTATAAAAAAAACCGACATCTTCTGTTTTGACTGACAAAAGAGCTGGTGAGTTTGGGAAAGGTCAGTTCTTTGTCTGTTGGTGACCTGGTCAATTTGTAGTATAGAGGCCAATAAGAAAGTAATTCATTCTTATTGTATACAAGTACATTTACAAACATTGATTGTTTACTTAAGTATGTTTCATTCTATCTTTTGTCAGATGCCTAATAAACCAGTTTCTGGTTTGTCTCACATCTTCATAAACTAGACTGGTTCAATAGCATGTAAAGTTATATTCAAGTTTTATTCAGGCAAAAAAAGAAATGTAAAAAAAAATTTTTTTTCATATTTATGAAAGTATGAGCTTGTATTTACTTTCACTATTAAAACAGCTACTACCTTTGGTTTGTTGTTCAAGGCAGAAAACTCAGTCACTTTGACACAACTGCTTGTACAACACACAACTCTCAAGTGTGGAAACTGAAAGAAGGAGGATCTAATCTCAATAAGACTTTAGATGTTTTAATTGAATATAGAAATAAAGCTATAGTATTTACTTCAACAGAGAATATTCAATCATAGCTTTTGCTTACTTTAATGATTTTAATGTCTTAAGTTCAATCTTCAGTTTGAACAGCAATACTCCCCACCTCCACCAATGAAAGCTACTTGACAAATCACTCCAGGTATCATAGCTCATAAATAGAAGATGTTTGAAGATTTTAAATACATTAAATCTTTGTGACCTGAATGGCAGTTCATGGGGTGGTAAACCGAGCAAACAAACACACTTCATGGCCTTTATCCCTTCTGACAGGAAACCAAACCATCCCTCTTTTGATTTGACTGTCAAACTTTGACATAACATCCCTCATTTTAATTTGATTGTCAAACTTTGACATAACATCCCTTGGCTGATTTGACAATCAAGCCTTGATATAACACTCCCCCTCTGATTTGACACCACACATACTGCTTAGCTTTATACCTGTTTTGAGCGGATGAAGTGAGCATTGTATATGATGACCTTTGACCCCACCCTGAGGGACTGATACTTGTTGATAGCAGGTACACAGCTTACACAAAGCCTGTAAAGGAATGTGCTTCAGTTGTAAATGTGTTAAGACTCTCAAGGTTCTCTACATCCAGTGTACCAACTGATCTCATAAGGGGGATATATTTAACCAAATATCAAACTTTTACTGCCAAATTTCTCAATAAACAAATTTGTAAACATTTCTTCATTGAGCATCAATACTATCTCAAAGCAAAATAAAAAACAAAAAAGTCCTTGATTCAGAGAGGATTTAACAGAATAATATGTTCTAATTATTTTTTCAAAAAGAAAAGAGAAATTTTCCTTCACATACCCAACTTTGGAATCAAGCATGTATATTCCAACAGCCCCTAGCTCATTTGAAGTAAGGATTCCCTGTAGGAAAAAAACATACAAGTTATTTCATCTAAATTCATAATTCACATTTAATACATAAATGGTTGTAAACAAGAGTACCAGCAGCAGAACAAGATGGAAACAGTGATATTGCATCGAAATGCCTAGAGGAAAAGCAGTGCTGTATATTTTTATCATAAATTAAAGCATACCAAGTTTTAAAGATATGGGTTTAAAATCTCTCGACCAAAGCTAAAATGCTGAACAATCTTATGTCACTTTGTAACGGTTTTGATGTCTATCATGTTTCAAAGAGACTGGTTCAAAACTGAGTGAGAAAAATCTGGGACAAAATTAAAATGATCGATAGTAACAAAAGGTTTTAACATTGAAAAATAGTAAAATCAAAATGCCACTAAGGAATACTCTGTCCTGTGCAATGATTATAAAGTAGTCAAATTAAGATAAATGGATTAAAAACTGAGGGAGGAGATCAGTATATAAGATTAACATGCTGGAAAAAACAAAGGGCGGTAACTCCTTTAAAATTGGTTGAAAAATTAAGAGATTGAATCTCTGGACAAAATTTACATTATGAAACAAGGACAGTATCTCTTCCAAATACAGTGGAATTAAACTGCTGTACAGGAAAACACAACTTCATGTCATAGTGGTTAAGCCAATTAAGTTTGAAAGAGATCTGAAGAAAACTTTAGGAGGAGATCTCGGGAAAAATGAAAGTTTATGACAGTGGGACAAACAATCCCAAACATAATATGTCCTGTCAAAATGGTAATTAAGATATTTTTCTGCATTTTCATTTATTGATTTTAAACAGTGCCATGAATCAATGCAAGTTCTATGTGGTAATAACAAAATCAAATTGCAGCTGATTGCTGAAGAGTCAATTTGTCTTTACTTAATTGATAATCAGACATAATTGGTAAAAATGTCTTTTCAATCAATTATTGATTAATAATCTCTCAGTAACCTTTCTCAAATTGTATGTTTCACTATGTTAAAAACCTTGGCATGCAAACTTAATATGTGATACACTCCAAAACCGTCAGTCAACTTACCAGAAAGCTAATTAGGGATAAATCTGCCTCATAATGATAGACATTGTAGAAGTAAGTGTGAATTACAACAGAAACTCACAGAAAATTACACACCATGATTTCAGCTAATTATATCAGTCATGAAATATTAATCCTAATCAATTAATTTGGTTTATTTGTACAACTGATCAATTATTAGGTTTGGTTTATTGTTTCTTTATGTCCTATTAACAGGCAGGATCATCTACGGATGTGCCAGATTGGGCGGTGGAGGAAAGTCGAAGTTCGTAGAGAAAAACCACCGACTTGCAGCCAGTACCTAGTAACTACCCAACATAAGCTAATCCACCAACAAGAGGTGGAAAGCTGGTTATACAGTCAGACACCTTAACTACTTGGTCAATGTGGCTTCCAATTATTATGACAAAGACTCGTGCTTGCAATGAATAAATGTCAAACTTCTAACTTAATAAAATCAATGATTTGAAAACTGTCTTTCATTACAAGAAATTATCATCATCAAATATTACTACTGACTGAGAAACAAATCAAGATGCCAAAACAGATTCATATATGGAGCAGATATTACAAATTACTGGTTCATTCATGGTGTAAGCATTAATTCCTCCCTGAAAATGGTTAAATACCTGATACGATGCCATATCTAAAGTGGGATCCTCTTCAGTCTCTTCTTCCATCTCCTCTTCCTTCCCCTCACATGTGATCACCTCTAATTTACTTGGATCCCCACCTTGTCTTTCCAACCATTCCTACTCAACAATATTATTGTAAAACCTACACTGGTACAGATATGAATAGAATGTCCACATGTTTAACTCTCCTGTAAACAATCAAGTGTTTTCTTAATGTCATTATAGTCAATATAATTGCAAGTGACCCATAAAACCATTGATGTCAGCTGTTAAAATGACTAAAATAAATATACAATAGAATATATGGAGCACCCTGCCACAGCATATTAACATCACAATGACTGTCTAGTACATGTACTGTTGTTTTCGATCAGTAGCAGGCAATATTCGACTTGGTAATAATTCTATATTTATCTCAGGTACAGGAAGGCAGTGCTTAACTGGTATAATTCTATATGTATCTAGGGTACAAAAAGGCAGTGTTTTACCTGGTATAATTCTATATGTATCTAGGGTACAGAAAGGCAGTGTTTTACCTGGTATAATTCTATATGTATCTAGGGTACAAAAAGGCAGTGTTTTAACTGGTATAATTCTATATTTATCTCTAATACAAGAAGACAATATTTCACCTGAGCTGAAATACAGGTAAAGTCCAGTGTGGCAGGACTGAGCAGTAGGCTATCTGTCCATGGAACAAAGACCTTGATACTAGACCCTGCACCCTAAAAAAAAACAAACATTCAAGGTTCTTTACATTTAAATACTGTAAAAGGCAAAAATAATCAAATGTCTTGCACACAGTGGAATAATCTATACTGGAAAGTAGGCCTATGAACTTTTACCCTCATTTAACTTTTGTCTTGAAGAGCAGAACAAAAAGTATTAAACAGTCACAAAAGAAGTAACTAGTATATGGAATGAATTCAACATGGGACAAATTTGTCTAGTTATGTGTGTAAGTGAAATGTTGAGTACGGTAAATGATTCAACTGCTCATAATATAAGTCATTAACTTATTGTCATGGCTATATATTAGTTAAAGCTGTATATTCCTGAGGGCTGTCATTGATGGGAAAAGATCAACCTGTCTAAGTATCCACATATAACTACTTATCAAGTTCCAGTTCTACTTAATTTTCTAAGCTGACTATTGTTTACACCTCAGGAAAAACGCAAAGTAAAAGAAAACCATCTGACAGGAGTGGTCTAGTGAAAGGAAACATTCAATGATACCTTCTTCAGTGTAGTAGGTCTCAAACCAGTCAACACTATCTTTTCTCCAGGTGTGAGAAACTTCTGCCAGTGTAGAAATTCAGGTTTCTGTGAGCAAAAATGTAACTTTTCAACAGAAAGTAAGAGTATGTCTCAACTCTATGTGGCATATCAAATCTATATCACAATAACAGGTGATTATAACATGTCAACATATCAAATCTATATCACAATAACTAGTTATGTGTGTAAGTGAAAGGTGATTATAACATGTCAACATATCAAATCTATATCACAATAACAGGTGATTATAACATGTCAACATATCAAATCTATATCACAATAACAGGTGATTATAACATGTCAACATATCAAATCTATATCACAATAACAGGTGATTTTAACATGTCAACATATCAAATCTATATCACTATAACAGGTGATTTTAACATGTCAACATATCAAATCTATATCACAATAACAGGTGATTTTAACATGTCAACATATCAAATCTATATCACAATAACAGGTGATTTTAACATGTCAACATATCAAATCTATATCACAATAACAGGTGATAACATGTCAACATATCAAATCTATATCACAATGTAACATGTCAACATATCAAATCTATATCACAATAACAGGTGATTTTAACATGTCAACATATCAAATCTATATCACAATAACAGGTGATTATAACATGTCAACATATCAAATCTATATCACAATAACAGGTGATTATAACATGTCAACATATCAAATCTATATCACAATAACAGGTGATTATAACATGCCAATTTATGTAAATTTGATATCTTTACAGCTAGTTTGCTGTTAGTATAAAACAAGTAATTCATAAACCATTCATTTCTTCTGAAAAAAAAACCCTGCTCTGTTCACTTTAAAATTAGATTTAAATACTAGACTTTGATATAAATTCAAGTCAAAATTTATGATTTAAAGTATAAGAAATTTTTGATGAAGATTTTCTCTCAGTAAATGATACAAAGTAATAGAAGTTTGACACAAGATAAAAGAAAAATGATACAAATCAGTATAACACTTACCTTGACAATGATGTTAACACCATGAGGGAGTCGAATACAGAATAATAGGTCTGTTTTTACTCTGTGAAGAAAAAGTTAATATTCATTAGGCAAGCTAGATCATAATACCAATCATTATCAACCAGAATCTACTGATCTCTCATTGGTTCTGTCCCCTAGTTGATAAATCTACTAGTTGATGAAACTGTTTTTCACCTGTTTGCAATTAAGAAGTTAAATAAACCAACTGTGCCTTGTTGATAGTCAAGTATCATTCAAAATCAGATTTTTTTCATTTCTGTCGGTTGAAAAAGGATTGGATAATGAAATTAAAAGATATTGAGAAAACATGACATTTAAAAACAGAAAAAGATATTCTTTTCTCTTAAAACAACACATGGATAATGTTTCTTCTGATCATTCCCATAAGCAAACGAGAACAAGAAGAGACCAAAGGGAACAAACGTATGAAATTTGAGAGATATACATTCATTATTTCTTATGTAATAGCAATAACAATCTTTTCTAAGTAAAATCCAAGATGGCTGCCTGTTGGCCATTTTGTTTTTTCTGATCAGCACCGAAATCAAACAGGCACAACTAGGGATAAAGAAAGTATATACATGAAATTTGAGAGAAATCTATACAGTAGTTCTCAGGAAATAGTGAAAACACAAACTTCCAAAGTCAAAATCCAAGATGGCTGGCTGTCGGCCATTTTCTTTTTCTGATCAGTCCCAAAATCAAACTGGCACAATTAGGGACCAAGGGGGCCCTACATATGAAATCTAAGAAAGATTCATCAAGTACTTAAATGTTAAAGTCCAAAATGACCACATTTGGCCATTTTGTTTTTCTTATCAGTCCCAAAATCGATTGGGCACAACTAGGGACCAAAAGGAACTGATTATTAAATTTAATAAAGATCCATCAAGTACTTCTCAAGAAATAGTGACAACAAAAATTGTTTCCGTACAGACGGATTGACGGACCACAGATGCAGAGCGATTTGAACAAACTGCCATCTGATGATGGTGGGCTAAAAATATATGCACTTTGACTTTTTGAAAGTCTGAGAAACAAATCTTTTGCGCTCTTCAAATTCAGGTTTGAAAAATAAAAAAATCCATTAATATTATACATGTAAAGTAACTTCCAGGTATCATTCACATCACAACAAAACATTCTTGCAATCAGCAATATACAAATACCATTTATCTATATTTACATCTCTTGCAGTAAGATTTTTTCTGTTGCATAATAGCAAAGACAAAAATATTATCTACCAACACTATAAGGCACAAAAATGACTTTCATTGAACTGTACCTGTGGATCTCCCCAACAGCTTCAACAGTTGCCACCATGTTAATACACCCTGGCTTCAAAGTGTCCCTACAAGTAATTTATAATCCTTCATCTGCAAGCAACTTAGGTATCAAAGAGGCATAACTCTCTAAAGATGATAGAAAATAAAGTTTGTTCAAAATTTATCATAGGCCAATGCTAAGTAGCACAAATAACATTATACATCAAAATACCTGAATATAGTGATTATGTACTCTCAGTCAAAGTATCAATACAGAGGTTTTCTTATCACTGCAGAAATATCTGAATATAGTGATTATGTACTCTCAGTCACAGTATCAATACAGAGGTTTTCCTATCACTGCAGAAATATCTGAATATAGTGATTATGTACTCTCAGTCAAAGTATCAATACAGAGGTTTTCTTAAACTTATCACTGCAGAAACATCTGAATATAGTGATTATGTACTCTCAGTCACAGTATCAATACAGAGGTTTTCTTAAACTTATCACTGCAGAAATATCTGAATATAGTGATTATGTACTCTCGTCACAGTATCAATACAGAGGTTTTCTTAAACTTATCACTGCAGAAACATTAATATAAGAAAAAATATACATTTCTATAAAACTAGGCATTTACCCAAGGTTATATAATCAGGATAAAAGAATCTGGGACACTCCAAAAACTACCTGACTGAAGTATTGTCTCATTGACGTTTGACCTTGTATAATTACTACCAACAACAATATTTATTCATTTACTTAAACACGATTGTATTTCACAGAATGGTTTATTTTATAAAGGAGGAGTGCCAGTTTGGGCCTTTTGGTGGCCATGACGAATACTTTTTATTTTTTGTCTATTAAAATCTTGAGGTCAGGCAGTAATGACAAGACATTAATCTAAGGTCTGCTCAAGGCTGTTCAGTTGTTATAGGGAGGGGATGAGTGGGGGATCAAATTCATAATTATTGCAATAATTATCAAACTAAAATATATTTTTTTAGTTTTTTTCTCTTAAATGTCATTTGATGATATATTTCAAAACCTTCATTAGAAAAAATGACCAAAAAATATGCCATTGTTGAAAAGCAGGTAACAGTAATTAAGTGCCCTAATTACTAATTAAGTCACAATTGAGCACCGTTTTTTGTCTTAATGCATCTATAAACAATACGTTTATCACGAGCATTACCGCCTGACCTCAAGTTTTCAATAGACAAAAAATATAAAGTATTCATCATGGCCACCAGAAGGCCCAAACTGGCACTCCTCCTTTACCTAACCCCTTATTGAATTGACATATTTTTGATTGTACTAATTATAATGACTTCTGCACCAGTTGAATTCACTTTGTACAAGATTTGACAGACACTAGACCTAATGATTTCAGTATTCCTTCCTGTCTACTCATTACTATACTTCATACAGGTCACAGGTCAGGTTGTTCTTGAAACACGTTTATGAATACTGACTTGTGGAGAAGCAAGACGGAAGCAACTTCAGCAGACACAACTGGAAGTGGTTTGGACAAGACTGGTTGATTGGAGGTGGGTCTTATCCTTACAGGCTTCACACACAACTCCAGGTAGCACTGACCTGTTTAGAATACAAACATTATTACTTGACATTTCATAAAACTGACAAAATGCATTCAACTCTTTTCTCCTAGTACTGAGTACCTAAACAGCATTTAATGTGAAAAATGGTGTTTGAATTAACAAGCTTCTATAGACGAATATAATCATGATTCTGGATATTCAAGTCAGACTGAAAGATTTATGATTCCTAAAGTCAATGTGTTTACAGTTCACTGATTTCATGATCTGGTATGATTGTTAGCATGTTAACATTGCCTCTTTTGTATTGTTGCTCTACCTCTGCTTTTGATGATGAGGTTCCAGGAAGGAAACACAGCCCATTGATCTAACAATCCCAACATCTCATTGTAGTCACTGTGCCTCAACTGATGAGATATAATGACACATACAGGTACTTTTACAAGTGAGATATCTATATACAGGTAACTGTTTGTCTATGAATTTAATAAATTCTTTGTAGATTGCTTTGAAGGAAATAAAACATGCATTTCCTAAAGACGCCAACACAAGATTACTGTACTTTACCCAAATTTCATGTTTCCTTTGGGCTCCATCTTTCTTAGATATAAGACTAGTATCTTTCTTTGACAGATATGAAGTAAATCATTTTTGTTTTTATTAAACATACAGAGATTTGCTTTACCTCTACTGGGAGAGATGATGCGGAGTCTACTAAGACTAGCTGTCCTGGGTGATCTAATGAGGCTGTTGTCAATCGTCCAAGTAAAATGCATCTGTGGCACAAGAATATATGTTTTAGTAAGGTACGATATTTTTCTGGATGCAAGGTATTGACAATCATACACTAAAAACAAACTTTGATATTCTGCTCTGTTTTTCCATATAAGGACTAAAATTTGGTTAATTTTCATACAGGGGGAACTAAATGTTTCGACTTTACATCTTATTTCAATAGTGCCTGTATCGTTCATCTGGTTAAGATCACTGAAATAGCTTCATTTTCCACTAAATGAAAAATAATTGTCCCATTTTCTCTAAGCATCCTATAGTGAAGGGAGCTTACTCTTTAAAAAATTACTTTCTTTCCCCTATTGCTATTTCATTTGGGACATAATCCTGGAGTTTCTACAGAAGAAGGATTAAACAAATTTGCTTCTTCCACCTATCAGATGCAGTCACTTCCACAGAAGGGGCACAAGACCCACAGTTTATACAAACCTGATTTCCCTTCTCTCAAAGGGCCGAAACCCACTATTTATACCAAACAGATTCCCCTTCATCAAAGAAAAATTGAGACCATTTTTGGTAAAATCTAACCATTCCTACAAGAGGAGCAGGGTTTTTTAAGAACATGTATAATTTCCTCAATTGGGTTCTGCCCTTCAGGACTCTGATGGCTGAGACTCCTTTGGGCAAGATGAGCTACAAATGTTGGAAATACTTTGTTCATCAGTATAGCAAACCTTTTGTTTCCCAAGGTCTTCTCTGAACTATGTCTATCCTCAGATGAGGGGGAAGAGACCTCAGATGTGAACTGACTATGAAATGCTAGGTCCTGCTTCCTACACCAGTCTACATCAATCCCCATACACTGTGTGAGTAGATGTATATCCTGACAAATGTCTACCAATGTCCTTAGTATGTCCTCTACAGCCAGCCCTGCTGCCACAATCACGGGTCTCCACACTCCATACACACCCTCTAGCCATTGGATATGCTGCAAATAATGTGGTGAAAGGGATTGAATAGTCTATTAATATCTTTGAAGAATGCTCTAGTCATGAACCCTGTACTGTTACTTGTTTTGGCTATAAAACATAACTTGGATGTGACCTGGAATTACATGGTTTACCTTCCAGAATACCTGGTCTTCGCTTTTGTTTTCTTCCTCACTTTTTCAAATATGCAAATTTTTCAATTGTTCATAATTAACCTTTAATTGATATTGTGTTTAATTTGATCATGTGCTTTTTTTTTTTAAACAGAAAGTGTCCATGTATGCCTGGCTAGTTAATATCTAAACACATAATATCTATGTATGAGAGGTTATAAAACAAACTGCTTATTACTTGTGAAATTGCAATGGCATTGATTACAACGTAAAACTGGGTCAATTGCGTCTTGACAAGTCATTTTTCATATTGCTGCATATATGTTTCCATTACCAAAAGAAATTATCAATTGTTAACATTCTCTAGCCAATGTCAATGTTTCTCATTAATCCTTCTAGCTATCATTCTGTATAACTTACATTGACAAAATTTTATTTCATAACGCTCAGAAAGCCTGAGCATGAAAATCTTATCACATTGTGAAAGTGTCTCCACATGCTGACAATTGGCTAATATTTTAGTGCAAATGAGAAATCTTAAATCAACATGTATAAAGTAGAATTCATATATAAAGTGTCAACTTCATTACGTCATGTTGTGTTGTTTTGAAGCCATATAACTTGGATTTCTCCAAAAACTCTGCTATATCTTTATCCATTCACTTGTTTACAGTCAATTACTGCAGGGGGTCGTGATGTTAACTGTAAAGGGAAAAAAATGACTAGCAGTGTGGATAAATATTGGACCCAAAATCAACAAATTTAAAGCATTCAGTAATTTTTCCTGGTGAGCCCAGAACATTATTTCCAAAATTTTAGTGAGTCCAATTCCAAAGAGATGGAGTAGGTTCTCAAATTTTGAATGAGTTTTTCAGGAAACGCACAAGTTCAGGATTCAAATATCTGAGTGCAAAAAACATCATTGTGACATTAACTTGTACATCATATAACCGAAGGCAGAATATCAAACCCCTCAGCTTGTTAAAATTCATGTGAAGAGTCCTAATTATTTGCAAAGATACACTGCAAGAATGGAACTCAAGTGATGGCCACTGGGGAAGTTTCCCTTTTTCTATTCAGCCATATACTAAGAAAAGTAGGCCCATAAAATACCATTTGCTTATCCCAAGAACATTAGTTATGTCACTTTGAATGGATAGAAACACTTACTATCAATATCAAAACTTTGGTATATCTTTCTTCCATTAAGTTTTTCAAAAAAGGTTTGTTATTACACTAACACAAAGATGAAAGTTGTGTAGTGACTACAATTTGGTGTAAAAGGAGCGGGTTGGTGTGGCTTATATGTATATATTAGTATCTGTCACTCAACTGACGGGCATGCTTCTTTCGCAGGTATTTCGCAGGTATGTCGCAGGTATGTCGCCTCAATTGAAAGCTTCTATCTTCTTGTTGCGATGTACTTAATGGGGAACTTAATTCCCCCTTACACCGACTATGAGTCCCAGTTGCGCATGCACAGTTATTACAATTGTAGAAAAATTTACAGAAATTCTGAAAAATTAAATCAAAATAATTTAGGAGAGTGAATTTTAGGTCTTGATTAACCTTAACTAACATGTAGTTGGTATTAAAGGACAAGTAGTGGAACAATATCTAGACACCATGTCACTTTATATTCTAACACAAGTTATACAAGGATTAAAAGGTAAAAACAGGGATGTTGATATGGTATTATAACAATGATTTGGGTCTTATATTTGTATTACTAAATTATTCACTTGGCCTCTGTTTATTCTGCTTCATAAGTACAAAAAGTCAGGCTTCATTCAAACGGTCTTATATACATTGTTATCTTAGTACTGGGCAGTAACAGTCAAGTGGCAGGGCAATCCCCAGACAGCTTGACGGTTACACTTGACAGTGAACTTATCGGGGTGATCCTTCCAGTGGGTGTTCAGCCTGGTTTTTTAAGCTATTCACCGAGTTTTGGTTCAGTTGGTAGAGCCAGTGGATTGGATTATCTTACCGGAGACTTGGGTTCGATTCCTGGTAAGGGTACAGGAATGTTTATGTTACCTGTTCTTTCACACTGCAATTGGCACCCAACGCGTGGAACCCTGTTCTCTGGCATAATAATGGACCGGGTCTACCAACTGTCCGAGTCAAAGAAGCATGTTCCGTCAGGTGACTGACAGAGACCGCATACACTATACACAGCCACGCCAACTTAATCCTTTTACAATGGTAAGGTTACATTTCATCATAATCATTACTGCAGAATTTGAAAGCCTTTGGTTTCTTATTTTTTTAAACCGAGAACCAAAAATGTATAATCATTATTGGATCATTCATTAAATAAAGGCCTCCTACATTTTTGGTGGAGGCACGTGTGTTTAAAGTTCTGACTGTAAGTTGAACTACACTTTGTCGTACTTGCATTTCGGAGCCGCAATTTCTTGTTTACATTTCTCAAAATTCCCGCCATATTGCGGTAAGTAAAGTCGTAAATGTATAAACTTTACAGTTCAAGTTTTCAAATATTTATTGAGATATTTCTGAAATGAATTATATCTTATACATTTTATAAGATGTGTTATTAAAAATAGATAAGGTTGATATCCATTGAATATGTCGTCAAAATCACATGATACTTTGTGTTGATGCTGTTTTGATACCAGGATATTTAGTCTGCATTTGTCTATTTTTAAAAGACATTGATACGCTTTTATAGATGCTATGAAGTGTTCGAAATATATACTATGATCGCATATTTTGATAAAAAATTTAGTTGAAATGTATACATTATCGAATATATTTCAAATGTTGAGGATATAATTAAGGTATCCAATTTTCCTATTGGCACTTTTCTCTCGGGTGTTCTCTTAGCATTTCGTTCGATTGTATAGTATCCTAGAGGTATTCCGATCATATCACGCCGAGAGGAAAATGAGGACTGAGCTTCGTTACGAAGAAAACTAACATATTTTAGAATATTTAACGACATATTGGAAATCATGGATTTCAGAAGACATGTTTTGACGGTGTTAGTGCTGTTTGTGTGTATTCTCATCGCACAGAACCAAGCTGCGTCAAGTTCGAATGACAACAGTGACGTGGACATTTCCAGTGTTTCGAAAAAGTCTACAGAAACTGAAGAAACAGCCGCACCGGTTAAGCCAACAGTGTCCAAAGACAATTCTACATCCAATAATACTGATTCAGATTCTGACGGTTTCTTGGGCTCATTGGTAGAAAATAAGGATATGTTGCTGAGAACGCTGTACGTGCTCATAGGAGTAACCTCAGTGGTGATCCTGTATTTCGTTTTCCGGGCATGGAGGTGAGTATTAGACAGGAGTTTGCCCATTATCGTGTATATCCTGATATGCCTACTCTATTCCACGTAAAGAACATTGACTAACTTATTAGTATTTAAACTAAAAACTTTTAGTATGTTTACCATTCTGACAGAACTCTCCGGACATTGTAATTGTCACTAATTCTTGATTCGTTTTTTCTCGTGTTTTTGTTTTAATTTCTATCTTTCCTGCAATACTGAATTGTCCACATTACACAGCCAATGTGTTAGAAAAAGTAGAAATGAAAAAAAAAAGCCGTCCTGGATTGACCAGACAATGCCAGGCATTATCAGGATGAGGAAAAAAACACAAATTTCATTTAATACGCAAACTAGTCTTTGATACAAAATTTGGAAAATGGATTTTTAAATGAAAATAGCCGAAATCACTTTAAACTTGAAGTTTTTCACTGGTAGCATTAATCAGAGACATATATAACACATGTATACGTCTCTGCATAAATCTAGTTATTAACTGGCCTACATAGCCTATGTTACCATAGTACAGTTACTATAAAAGCGACTGTTACATCAAATTGGCCAACACATATTATAAACATCTTTTAGTAAAAAATGATTTACCTTATCATAAATTAATGCAACTTTTGATAATGATATGAGTCTATGGACAGTTTTGATATCAGCTCTTACATCCACCATAGCCAGACTGATACAAAAAAGGCAGAGCACAAGAATACCAAATTAAAGTTAGCTGTCTTTCTTTAGATAGGGTGTTAAGGGTTAGAGACTGTGATTGACATATTATCTGTTTATATGGATGATGGATTAGGTCACACTGTATAGAGCCTCACTTGTAGCTGGTAGTAATGTATTATATGCAGGATGTTGGGATTTTGATTTCATATTTACAGATTAGCCAGACTTGAGAGTTTAATATTTTTAATTGTTATTTCAACATCTGGTAGTACTAGACACAGTTTGAGTTACAGGAGTTCATTTTCACTCTGTTATTATGATTCAAACCTAACCTTTCATGCTTTCTTTAGGTACTTGTCACAACCTCATTTCATAAAGTCTTTGTTTGAAAAGTTGACATTGAAAAAGCATATTGAGAAAATAATAGAACCCAAAGAATGTTTCATTACTCACAGAAAGTTGCAATTCAGAGCGAGTTTGAAAATGTTTGATCGTAACAACCGAGTGAGGGAAATGATTCTGTGGCAAATTGAATTTAAAAAAATGTGAGCATGTTGTTTACTGCTGGTAGGATGCTACTTGGAATGCATAGCTGTGGTTGACCAGTTATAAAGTTCCCATGGTTTCAATCTTACATTGTTGTCAAAATTGTGTTTTATATGGTCAGCAGTAATTGCTCAGTTGTATTGTTGATACATGTATGGTATTCTACATCCATTCCGTAGAATCTTATAGAACAAACAATAACAAAAATGCTCAAGTTTAAAGCCAAATTTTGGCTGCTGACTGTTGTATGTTTTTATTAAGATTCAGCTTGATCAAAACTTCAACATGGTAACCACAGTAGCCATTTTGTAACATGATTGCACAACTATGTTTACGAATAAAACCTACCATTTTATGAGTGTCGGATACTTTCTAAAAATGTTCATAATTTGAATTCATCAGAGTTATAAGACAACCATTAGCTAATTATGTGGTCTGTCCATTCATTAGTTGACTGTAAGATGACCACTAAGGACCAGGGCCCTCTTGTTATTAGATGACCAATAAAGGACCAGGCCCTCTTGTTACTTAATATATTTTCAAATCATGCAATAATAAAAATAGAAGTATCAATCTAACCTCAACATTGCCATATTTCATTCATGTAGTCTTCATGTATGTGATATATCTCAACCCCATGTTCTGAGACTTGGTAAAGCCCCAATATATGCACATTTGGTAAATTCACAAGATTCAGAACATTTCTACAAAAACTTCATCTTGGTAATTATGTTAAGACATACTAAATCTTGATAGTAGTGTTAAAGGTCACCAGCAACAATATTTTGCTGTTATCTGTATTTTGACATAGATATCACCGTGGTAGTACCTTGAATCAGTTTTCAATATGGTTGTAACTCTCAGCACTTCCGCTTTCTCTGGTAGCTTTCCGGAATCTTCAGGACCCAAAATCTGATTTTAATACTAGACAGGAATGACTGGTGTAAACACAGTGAGAGTCCCATTTAGTGTAGTAGTTTTATAATCGGTCTTATTTCAGTAGTGTGTTGTGGAGGATATTATAAAACTAGTGAAAAATCATAGAACTTCAGTTTGGTGAAGATCTTAAATGTTACATTGTTTGCAAAAAGTAAATTTCAACAGATTTTTTATCAATACCAATGTACAATATTATCATCTTGAGTATTTCTCAGATAAGTTAATTTTTACTTGATAACAATAGATTATATTTTCTCTCTGCATTTTGAGTGAAAGATACATATATCATTGAATATATATATATTCATTTAATCAGCAAAGTAAATCAAGTGTCTGTTTTATAGCTTTATGTCATGCAAGTATAATTTCTATACTGATTTGCTAGAGATTTTTCAATGTCCTCCTGTTGGCTAATACTTAGTACCACTTAGCTATAAATAGTATCACTATGTCACTTACGGCATTGTTCATTTAAGTGTCAGAACAATAGCAAAATGTTTGCTGTTTGGAAGTTTAAATATTTTTTTAACATAATTGAACTAAAGAAGAACTGAAATGATAATAAGTGTAATTACAGAGTATAGGGATTGTAATGAAACTTTCTACGGTAGTGTAATGTGTATACAAAGGGGGAAAGTAGTGTGAGGAAAGGAGTATTGTAGACTTTTCTAACTAAAAGGTTCAAAGCCAGAAATTTCATCAATTATCAATTTATCATGCATGGTTTGCGACCAGTTTAAACTGAAAAGTATGTTACTATACTATTAGAAAGTTATTGAGAGTGTTACAATGCTCAAACTATAAGCGAGTCTGTACTCATAGAATTTTGATGGGATTTACAGAAATACTTAGAATTTTTACATTGTGGAATCCATTATATTTTGCAATGAAATTAAAAAGGAACTCACGAAAATAAATTATAGATTGATCACTGAGTGGTAAGGTGTTTGGAAGTTAGCAAGACTACAACAAAATAGACAATATTCATGATGTTATTAACTAACATTATATTCATGATGTCATGAACTAAAGGGAGATTGTGTTTTATCTTGTTGGTGATATCATAACTAGAGTATATTTATGTTACACTAACTATATTATCATTAGTAACTAGAGAACTAAGGTACAGATTCATGTTTCAAGAAAAGGCATTCCTTTGCAAAAGAGAAATGCTGTAAGCAATTATATCACACATTAGTATTTCAATATGATGGGCTGAGGCCTGTGGCTAAATTGATTTCAGTGATAGGAGTTCCCCATTATGAATCTACATTAAGTCACTTTTGTCCTGATAGAATTAGCTTTAACTGATCTAGACAAAAGTATTGTCTATCCTGGCAATATCAAATTAATGTAGCCAATCAAGGACCTCTGTGTGACTTGAATTCACCTAGCCATGGAATTCTTCATCGCGTGTACTGGTAGCCGTAGCATAATAAGCAGCTATATTTTTCATTCATTTCATGATCTGCAGTTTAAAATGTATCCGGTACTGTAGTAATTTTATAACAATAAAAAAAGAAGTCTATTAAAATCCATGGTAATATCAGTTAGGTCCTATTTAGGTTTATATGTATGTGACATTTTGAATTTATTTTGACAAGTTATTCAATAGGGCTGCCCGTATAGCCATTCAGGATTTTGACATTGCAGTTTTTAACTGGTGAAGTCTGTTATTTCTCAAATTGTTGTAGGGATGTTTTGAAAATTTATAGTTAAGCATCTCTTGTTTTAAATCATATTCAAATGTTCATTAGTGGTCATTTTTTATTTTAAGGTTTTAAGTTTGTAGCTACTCGATCTTGTCTTCCTTTAAAAGAAAATTTATCAACAAAATTTTATACCAAAATAACTGCCAAAGTCTATGGTTCAGCAGTAGCCTGGGAATTGTCTTGGATTAAGGTAGGGTGGGGATGAACAGAGAAATCACAATCACTTACAGCTAAAACATGAGGTAATATTGTGAAAGATTATAAAGAGTGATATGTATCACAGGACCCAGCTAATAAAACAGTGTGTTATTATTATTTCATGTGGTAAGAGACCTAAAGAAAAATACTGAATATAGAACAGAAAGTCTCATGCCAGTAAACATTGTCTTTTTAGAATCAGAGGACGGCGATCAAAGTCAAGAAAGTATGGACTTATCACAACAAGAGGATCAGATCTGGAAATGGCTCCATTAGACGCTGATGATGAAGATGATGATCTGACAGTTTTTGAAATGAATGATAGACATAAATAACAGTTCGGAACTTTACCTATCCCAAGTAAGTATTCCTATTGTAGATTTCAACAAGGACACCATTTTATATGGTTTAGTGATGATTTGTTGCTTTAAAGTTGTAAATATTTGCTAGTCAAGTCCTCCTTTGAGGACAAGATTCATACAGTACACATTTGTCAGCTACATCAAGCTTATTCCATTCATATGTATAATATACTCTGAAAACTGAGAAATTTTAATGTACAAAGTAATATCAGAGATGATGTTCACACACGGGGTTCAAAGTGTTTGGTAATGAGCGTGTTATTTGGTATGACAACAATGCTTCGAAGCCAATGGACCGAAACCTAGATATCTCATGAATGCATAATGCAAGATTCTTATTAATACCACATTTTGGTATAAAATATTTGATGTTTCCATTTGTAGCAGACATATTCATGGAGCAGATTTTGAGACGGAATACAGTACCTTACATCCGCCCCATGATGTTTTCTGCTTGACATGTACTTTAAGTCTATTTGAACACCAGTATAAAAAAAAAAACCACTTATTGTCACGTTAGAATCAATAATTATCTGTTTCTGGTGCAAAAAACCACTATATTATCCGTACCATTCATTTGATTTTGGTTACACTAACTGCGGTATGCATTCTTTCAGTACTAGGTTTCTGTACTCCTCATTGGCTAATGAAGCACCATTCTGTTTATCATACCAAATTACACACTCATACCAAACACTGGACACCATGTTACAGATGCTGTGCTGACTTCATTTGCATTTTTTGCTTTCATGTAAATAATTATTTTTTTGTGGGTGGGCCTAACCTTATCATGTATATATATGTTATGTGTCTTTTTAGTCTAAGCAGAACAGATATATCATATACAGAAAAATGAATGTACTTGTTATTATTGATTAACAGACAGGTGCCTTTTCAGTAACTATGTCATGAAAAATAAATATGTGAAAAAAATAACATTTATGAATAATCATTTCTTTTCTAGATGTGGCCTTCTCTTATCCTCTTCACATTCCATGATGTTGCTGTTAATGAGTAGCACCGCAATAACCTCCAACCCACTGACAAAAGATGGTAGGCGCAGACACGATAAACTCAACCCACTGACTAAAGATGGTAGGAGCAGACACAGCGATAACCTCCAACCCACTGGCAAAAGATTACCATAGCAGACACACGATAATCTCCAACCCACTGACTGAAGATGGTAGGAGCAGACACAGCGATAACCTCCAACCCACTGACAAAAGATGTTAGGAGCAGACACAGCGATAACCTCCAAACCACTGACTAAAGATAGTAGGAGCAGACACACGATAACCTCCAACCCACTGACTAAAGATGGTAGGAGCAGACACAGCGATAACTTCAAACCTCTGACATATTTTGACTTGAAAGGATGCCCACTTATCCTGTACTTCACTGGCAGGTGTTGACTTTATTGAATATCTTTGATATTTCTACTAAAAATTGGTGTTTGATGATGATTTATCAAACAGAAGTTTATTTAAAACTATTTACAATATACAATGTACTACAACATATCTTTTAAATCTATCATGTAGTGTTTTCATACTATTCTTAAATTTCAACATTTTCATATATAAACAACAGGTAAACTTCTCAATACATACAGGACATGCTTTAAATTCAGGATTGAAAATGCATAAGTGTGTGATGTCTAGAAGCAAGACAAATCAGAAATGATTATGAAATCCAAGTAAATGATATAGGAATGATATGAATAGGTGCTGTAAATTTAGTTTATATTACAAGGCATATCTATATTATGGTGTGCTTCTTCAATCAAACAGTGAATCATGTAATGGAATGTAGTTATATTATGAATGGTTAGTCATAGAAATCATACACTCAAATCTGAAGGAAAAACAGATTTTTATCAGATGTTGTAAGTAATTACATGAACCATGGACAGTGTCAGTGCATGAACTTTATACGTATCATTTCATATCATCCGAAGTAATTTGTCGTCAATTATTCCATCTTTTCTTAGAATACAGTAACTGTATTTTGTGAGATGACTTCATCGTCTTAAGAAATCATATACTTTAGAAAACTCCATTTTTATATCCATGATTATGTTATATTTATGAGGTTTGAAATTTAAAATTCAAGGTTTCATGATTTAAACGTGATTAAATAGAAGTTCTTTTGAAATATTTAAATACCTTAATACATTATTTTCGATGACTGATGATTAATAATGCACATATCTAACTCACAAGTTAATTACAATATTTTCATATGTTGTATTTATCCTAATAAACGCTCCCGGGGCTTAACATTTTTCAGTATGTAAATGTTAGAAATTATCATAAAAGGGTTTTTAAATGATCTATAGGATTTCATGTAAAACTAGTCTATTTAATACCTTATTCAATGTGAGAAAGGATGGGGGCGGGGCTTTTATTAGAGAGGGGGCTATTATTAGAATAAATATAGTATACAGCATATATGTGTACAGATAAAAACCCTAAGATTTACAGAGTGTCTTTTGAAAAGTTTAGAGTTTAGAAAGAAACTGTAACTGAAGGAATAAAGGAAACCTTAATGAAGGTACAGCATATATCATTTTATCTTCTAGAAAACAAAAAATACACTTCTGGTGTAATAACCAGATACTCAGCAGTAAAGGGTTTTACAAAGAGCTTTATTTACATCAAGTCACAGTCTTAGGATGCTGAGCATTAAGCATAATTATGAAATCAAAAGTGAACATCTTATCAAAAATCTTGCTGTGTCATCATATTTCTTTATTTGTTAGGTTGCTAGTTTGATAATCAGTGGTAAAATTACAGCATAAACTTGCTTTACTTTGTGAGTTTTTTTTATCAGTTATAAACACAGTTACAGGATGAACATGCTTTACCTTCTGGGTGTGTTTATCGGTGGAAAACACAGTTACAGCATAAACATGCCTTTCCTTAATTTTGAGTTTATGTTATAATATGTGGTATGTATTATTGTATGTGAGGTGACGGATCAAGGTAATGATGGATGAACATTAGTGATGTTCAAGGCAGGGTAAAACTTACCTAAGTTTCTAGCACATTTATCAGATAAATCATTTATGTTGCCATCTGATATGATATTCACACTTACATTTAGATCATCCTTGTTAAAAATTACCAATAAAGTATTTCAGAATGCAACTTCAACGAGTAAAAGCTGATTGAAAAGCTAGAAATGTTTAGGTATGTTTTATTTCAGCCTTTTGTTATATTGTGTTATATGATAAGGAAGTTAGCTTTATTTAAAATGTTCAGATAAATATATATATACATTCTATAAATGTCTTCTACAATTATATGTTTACTTTGCTTATTTTATCCCCTGCAGTTTTCTGTTGATGTTTTTGTACAGACTGTAGCGTATGCATAAAAGTTATTGTATGATATTTTCATGAAATATAATGTGTATATCTGTTTTCGCTTAATTAATTGCAAACTTATATTGACTTCAGGAATAGATAACAAAATCCTTCAGATTTTGTTTTGAGGCCAATGTCAGCAATCTCTACCAGCGTTGTCATTCCTTACAGTCTCAATATGTAAGGTATACATTGCATCCTAGGAGCAGTTGACTATGTTACTAACTGGAGTATAAAACTTCATACTACATATATAAAATAATAACAACAAGTTAATTTGTTGACAGCGGCCAAAATTGACAAAGCTGTTTTTGATGACAGGTTGTCCATAAAAAAGGCTTTTGTTTGTTTGATAAAGATGATAAAAGAAAGAAACAAAACAAGAAATGGAATATATATTGATCAGGCGATAGCTAAATAAATTTAAACATTAAGTAATGGAAGCAAGGATTATACTTGTGTTATAAAACATATTTTGCTGATAGAGAAATCCACTTATTGTGTTTATGTTTTTAAAATGTTCTATGAATTTGTTATTTGTACTGCTTTGTACTAATGACTGTGCCAACATGATACTTCTTTTTTCTGTCATCAATAACCCATCCCCTTAAAAATAGATCTCATACTGTGTTGTTTGTAGACTTCTTTACACTCACAAAAGCAATCCATGATGACTGGTATAGTAATTGCCCTTATAGGAGTAGAGAGTGTAAGTCATCATGTTGAGATAGTAATCTGTGTAAGTCCTGTGGAAGCTCACAGTAAATCTGTGTATGCCATGTGGGACTGCACAGTTAGTCTATGTAGGCCATCATGTGGAGCCTGCACAGTTCATGTGTGAGCTATATAGAGCCTGCACAGTAGTCTGTGTAAGTCGTGTGGAGACAATAGTCAAGATGAGTGGAGAAATCTGTACAAAGAGGTAAAGATCTTAATGTCCTTTCACTGTGCGATTTCATGATGGTTGTGATTAAATTTGTGAACAATGTGTTAGAAAAATTGACTCCTGTATAAAAGCTTGTTGTTTCTTTGTATGTTTTTTCCATCATGTTATTTTTGTTGGTGATTACTTAGGTTTAAGCTATTATAGAATTAGTCATATTTGGACGAGATGTGACTTTGCTCTTTAATTATTACAAATACAATGAAAAATGAAAAATTATCTTGCTGTTGATAACTTACACAGGATCTGGTTTTTTACTTTTCCCATCTTTTGGGTGCTTTGGATTATCAGTCCCTTACAGATAACAAGGAGGACTATAGTTTCGCATTGTGTCCATCCGTCCTTCCTTCTCTCCCTCTGTCCTTCACTACCTGTCACTGAAACTTGAGGTACATTTTGACCTTTGACCTACACAACAAAGAAAAAGTTGGCCAGAGCTTAATCACTTAAAGTGCATTCTTGGCGTATATTTCTAAATTGTCTTATGATTTAGATTGTTATGAACAAACATTACTTTGGTACTAAATCTATTTTGTATGGCCAATAGTAAACATAATAGAGGCATACAATAAAGATCTATATTGGTGTGTACATTTCAAATTTGCCAATGTTATTGTTTATTTTAATGGAAAAGGTTCCTATCTTTCGTTTTCCTTTTTTTGTTTTTGATTCATTGTTCAGCATTTCTTATCACATAATTGGGTTTTTTAAAGTACAATATGTGCTCTGTACTGTGTAGGAGTAGTCACTTGGTTAATCTGTATTATATTAATAACACTTTACATTGATAGAATTTTTCTACATATATAAAACAATTGTACTATTCACCTTCCTAATGGTAATCATTTGCTCATAATAATGAAAAATGTACAAAGTGCAATATGTGTTTTTTTGTGTGATAATACTCACTTGTTGGCAGAAGGTATAAATTCATTAACAGAAGCAAATAGAGCCTTTGGCAGTTTATTTTCGTTTTGGTAATACATGTAGGCATTGTTTCATTTTCATATTTATTTCTTCGTCAATATGTATATTTTGCTGAACAGTTTCGTTTTGAAATGTGTTACAAATAGTGGTAAATAAATGCTTTTAATATGGGAATATACAATATGTTGTAGTGAAAAGTTTACTCTATGGATGTGTTAGTAAATCATCACAAAGTTAGGAGTTGTTGTTTGTATGTGTTGAATGTTTTTATGATCAGGTTTGATAAATTAAGGATGTTATGAAGTTATGATATGTAATTACACTAAATGTAATCCAAGAGAGAAAGTGTGAGCTTTTAATGTACAAGATATAGAGCCATATAGGGTGATGGTGCTAATTGTATATGTGGTCCCTGTAGTAGCACTCACCTGTTGCCATGTATACTACTTTACAAATTATACCAGGGGTGAATTAAGGGCCTCTTATTTTACAAATTATACCAGGGGTGAATCAAGGGTTTCTTATTGTACAAATTTATACCAGGGGTGAATTAAGGGTCTCTAATTGTACAAATTTATACCAGGGGTGAATTAAGGGTCTCTAATTGTACAAATTTATACCAGGGGTGAATTAAGGGTCTCTAATTGTACAAATTCATACCAGAGGTGAATTAAGGGCCTCTTACTTTCAAAGTAAAATTGGATATTTCTTTCATTTCAGTTTATATACAGAACAAATTACAACTAGATTTAAGTAAAAAATGTTTGTATTTTTTATTGATAAATTACAGTTAGGGTGTATCTACTTTCCTTTTATGGTTACACAATTTAGCCTTTGCCTAGGATTTCTTTGCATTTGTGTCTGTTAAATTTTCTTTCTTTTTATAAATTCACTAAGTAATAGTTCCCAGGAATGATGTTGATTTATATCGTGACATTTTTGATGGGGTTTCATGGGTAGCAGGGGAAGACATCAGAATTAAAGGGACCAACACATCAAAACTGCTGGATGATTATAAATATTGCACATTGAGATACCAACATTTGAATACTTTTGCACGGCAACACAGGTAGAAGACATTAGGTAGAATTCAATTGATGCAACATAGCATGAGCAAATTTTTACTAATGGGTCAGCTAGGGAGTCAAATTTTGCAAGGAAGACTTATTTAGTAAAATCAACAGTACTATGTCATGTAAATCTTTTTTGGATCAATTTGTTTTTTGAGATATGATCTTGTTGTTTAAAGTAAGGTGGCCCTGAGGTATGTGTAGTGTTGCATGTATCCCTGTCAGGGTGCATACAGTCTTGAAAAGTCCAGAGTTTTGTTAGGTGTCCTGGAAAAGCCTTAGATTTATATTTGCCATTAAAAAGTCTTTGAATATGTGATTCATTGTTAGAGACTTACACGACTACGAGTCAATATGCTTTCAGTCCAAACTGGAAGATTGGATCTGTTTATTGGAAGGCAAGGGTTCAAAGACAGAAAATAGGCATATCAGTTCAGAAGATCACATGCCAGCAAGAAGCATCAGCCATTGTAAAAATTGTGAATCTTATATTTCTTTATCATGTTCCCTGAAATTAATTTGGACCTTTAATGAAATGGCCTTGAATTGAGTTATCAATTCTGTATGCACTCTGCCTGTAGTTATCATTGATTATATAACTGTATATACATGTCAGTATCAAAATAAATCTATTTTGAACATTGATCTTTTGTTAAGTCATTCTTTATTGTATAAAACCCACACACCATGTCTTCCTGTCTATTGGTAACCAGGGAAAAGGATGCAACTTCGTGACTATGAAAC